TTCATATATTTATTTGCAGCTTTTACTTCTTTGTCTGAGAAATGTCTGTTCATTTCAGATGGCCATTTTTGAATTGGGTCTTTGAATTTGGGGGGTCTGATTTTTTTCAGTTCTTTATATATTCTAGATAATAGTCCTTTGTCCAAGGTACAGTTGCTGAAAATTTTTTTCCCACATTGCAGGTTGTGTCTCAGCTCTGTTGGTGGTTTCTCTTGCAGTCCAGAAGCTTTTTAATAAGATGAGATCCCAGTTACTGATTCGTTGTGCAAGTTCCCATGCCACTGAGGTTTTGTTCATAAAGTCTTCTACTATACCAACGTCTTCAAGAGTTCTACCTAACTTATCTTCCAGCAAATTTAGTGTTTCTGTCTTGATATTTAAGTCTTTAATCCTCTTCAATCTTAGTTTAGTGCATGGTGATAGGTATGGGCCTAGTTTTAATCTTTGGCAGGTTGAAATTCAGTTTTTCCACCACCATTTATTAAATAGGCTATCTTTCCTCCAATGAGGATGGTTGGCTCCTTTGTCAAAGATAAGGTGGCTGAGCATATCTGTATTTGTTTCTACATCTTCTAATCTATTCCACTGATCCTCGGTTCTGTTTCTTTGTCAGTACCATGCTGTTTTTATCACAGTAGCTTTGTTGTATAGTTTCAAGTTGGGGATTGTAATACACCCACCCATATCTCTGTTGCCTAAAATTTCTTTTGCTATTCAAGGTCTCTTCTGGTTCCAAATGAATTTTTGGATTGTTTTCTCTAGTTCTGTGAAATATATTGTTGGAATTTCAATTGGCATTGCATCAAACCTATATAATAGTTTTGGAAGTATGGACATTTTCACTGTATTGGTTCTTCCTATCCAGGAACAAGGGATATCTTTCCATTTTCTTATATCCCGCTCAGTCTCCTTTTTCAGGGTGCTACAGTTTTCAATGTAGAGGTCTTTTGCTTCCTTTGTTAGATTTATTTCATTTCATTCTTTAGGTTATATTGCAATATCCCACCATCAAATGTGGCTGCTCCACAGTGGCATAATCAGAAACATCATTTTTCCACTTGAGAGTATAGAGACACTAATTAGATGACAGCGAAGAGGATGAAATTTCTAAGCTTGGCTTTGTCAGTTATCTGTCCATCACTGCAACCAGTATATATTTATTTACTTTTCCAGTGTTTACTTAAATTGAGCTAATCAGTTAAATTTATTTTCATCACAGAATTAGACAGGTACTGTTCCTCGTTGTACTGACCAGATAGGTTTCCCTTATAAATTTTAATCAAAAAACCTAAAAGCAGAAATGATGGTTATCACCCAGCTGTTTTGGTTTGCAATATGAATTCTTCAAAATATTTTCAGTTCCAAAAAATGAGAGCATGTTTTTATTGATAATACAGTTGTGTGATGACACTGAAATTATAATTCTTAAAATACTGTGGCACATTCATGTGGCATAGACAAATGGGTATCTTATACAACTTTCATGTGAATTGTACTACATGTGCATCCTTCCAGTGCTAGACTAGAATTCTGATGTTAATTTTGGTAAAGAGCCTTCCTTCCCACTAGTTGACACATGTGTGGCTTTTTCTCTCCCTCAGGCAGCTGTGTCAACTCTTCAAGAAATGGCACCAGGAACGGCATTCAGACCGGTCATTGGTGATCCAGCTGTGGATCCAAAAAAGTAATTTGATGTGTTTCTCTGTTGCTGTACTCTAGGATAGAAGTTTAATTACAGGGAAAATTAGTTGGCACTGTTAAAGACTCCAAAGTGATGAATAACTTCTCTGTTCTGACATCAGTTCTTTAAGTCAGTGGAATAGGAATTAGAATGTGTGCAAGAGTGAACTTTGGAGGGTATGTTGCTAAAGAAGGATTTGCCAGGTCTCAGGAGAGGACTGAGCCCAGCTGCAAAGCCCCCCACAGGTGCATGAGCAAGTCACTGACATCTGGTCTACCCTTTTTTTCTGAACTCATTCTTAAGGGTATCTCTTCCCCCATCCCATTGTCCCTCCTCTCCCCAACAGTGTCAAGACCCTTGTGTTCTGCTCTGGCAAGCATTTCTATGCCCTGCTAAAGCAAAGAGAATCTTTGGGGCCCAAGAAGCATGACTTTGCCATCATCCGCATAGAAGAACTCTGCCCTTTCCCACTGGATTCATTACAACAAGAGATGAGCAGATACAAGCATGCCAAAGGTAAAGGTAGTTCTTGTGAGGCTCTTTGCTTTTCAGATATCTGGAACCTATTCAGATATTCAGCACCTATGATTTCAGCTGAAAAGAGGTGGTGGGGCAGGGAGAGTTGCTAGAAAGTCAAATGTCGTGAAGTCTAAGGATATGAGAAAAATAGGAGTGGGGCCAGAGTATCCGTGTCTATCTGTCTGCTTCTTTCATCTAGAACAACTAATCTAATGAGCATTTTAAGGGTAATGATGCTATACTATCATTTATGAAGAATATGGTATAATTATAAAAGACAAGGTTTTTTTTCAATAATTAGAACTGCAATATTGGATGTCTATATGCACCTTCTACAAAAATTAAGTCAAAGTTGACCAAAGGCTTAGATGTAAAACATAAAACTATAAATCTATTATAAGATAATAGGAGAAAATCTTTTTTTTTTTGGTACCAGGGATCGAACTCTGGTCCTTGAGCTTGCAAGGCAGGTGGAAGAACCACTGAGCTAAATCCCCGGCAATAGGAGAAAATCTTTATGATTTTTGGGGTTAGCAAAAAGTTCTTAGTTATAATTTGAAAAATACACTCTGTAAAAGAAAATTTGGATTTTACCAAAATGAAAACTTTTGGATTGTGAAAAACGCTGTAAAGAAAATACATTCCACAAACTGCGGGAAAATATTTGCAAATTGGTATGGACAAAGATTTATCTAGCATATTTTAAAGAGTTCTTAAAATTCATTAGTAAGAACCAAATAACCCAGTTTTCAAAATGTTCAAAATCTTTGAAAAGGTACGTTTCCAAAAAACTGGATGGCAGATAAACATATGAAAAGATGCTCCATTTCATTAGTGGTAAAAAAAAAAAAAATTAAGCCAATAGGAGATGTGGCTACACAGCTATGAGAATGGCTCAAATTAAACACTAGACTGATGATATCATCTCCTCATGGGACAAAAACTAATGAACCTCGCTCACCACTGGTAGGAATGCGTGTTGTAGCATTCTGGAAAAGTCAGTTTCCTATAAAAGTAGACATAAAGTTACCCTATAACCTAGCATTCCCACTTCTTGGTATTTACCCAAGAGAAGTGAAAACACATTCACAGAAAACTCTGTATTCATATGTTTGAAATCTACTTGATCTGCAAAGAGGATAGCTACTCCTGCTTTTTTTCGGGTTCCCATTACATGGAGTATTGTTTTCCACCCTTTAACTTTCAGTCTGTGAGTTTCCTTTTGAATTAAGTGTGTTTCTT